TTAGTAAAAAGGAATAAATTAAAAAAACACACAAAAGAAGATCACTGAGGCTGAACGCTTTCTTTTGTCTTGTCTTAATTTATTGCTTTCTACTAAATTCAAATGTTCTATTTTCTATGACAACGTTTCTGCAAGTAGGTGTATATCATTATATAAATATATCATGATTATTCCTGTTGCATTATTAATCTAATCGATTAAAAGTGCTTGTTTTTAGCTTTAATGGGATGTATAATATACTAATGTTTTCCATATCGAGATATAGATATGATGCATTTTCTCAAAAGAAGCGAAGGTTACAATAATTATTCTAATCCCTCTATTAACATCTATGGCTTTACGTTTGTTTAGCGCACTCGTGACCAAGTTGGTTGCAATACATATGTATGTGTATAGCTGAACCTAACGGGCTTCGTTACAATAGAGCATAGGAAACTCTTTCGGTCCTTCATTTCCGTTATTGCATAGCTTAATATAAACACAGGAGAGGTTTGGAGAATTCTCCACAATTATTCAATTCGTCTGGTATTTGCATAAGTGTCATGACATCAGACGTGACAATGCGCTTCAAGCAGCTAAATAAAATAAGCGTTTCAGCCAAAGACGAACGCAGCAGCTTTGGCTAAGTTTGTATGCATGGGAAACAACGGCGTTCGATTTGTTCGTCACGCAATGAAAATTACTTGATTGAAATTCTTCGATGATGAGTATAGAATCAGGATCTCAAAAGGTTAACTTAACTGCATGCATAGCATTATAAAAGGGTAGGTCAAACTTAACAACGGAAATACAGTCAGTTATTAGTCAAATAGAGTTTGATTATCATCACCATTAGAAATGATTAACCTGGAAATTTAAAGGTAATTTTATTTGGAAATTAAGTCGGTATTTCAGTTTGACTTTAAGTTAGTTATTCGCTTGTTTGTTTATTTGTCGCTTTTCTTTCAAAGAACAATTATTCTCAGCTCCTTAAAAAATGATAAATTTCATATTATTAAAGGGTTTTTTTTAATTTTTTATGGTCAAAAACGGCTCATATTTTTTACTTGGGAAATTTTTATTTTCCTGGCCAAATTCTTAGAAAGAAGTCCTTGCCTGGAGAGTTCTTTTTTCCTGAATTTCTCGCTGGAAAACAGTTGTGACTTGCAGCTGGCTGGGACATAAGAACAGATATATTTCTCCCACTGGGAATTTCGGGTTGAACCCGTCGACTCCTCCTTCTAAGTAAGAAAAAAACTGATATATGTTAGTAACAGTGAAGAAATCGCTTGATTTTTCTTATTATGGTTCTTGCAAAAAACAGCAATGCACGCCTGGGGGCGTAGAGCAACACAACCTCTTAGGTTAGAACACAACCTCTTATAGTCGTTGTTGCTATGGCATTGGGCATTTGACTGAGAGACTTTTTGTTATTGTAAACTGTAACAACTATTATCATTCTCATCTAAAAATATCAGAGAAAGACATAAAAATTTATAACGTTCTTTGTTTACTAATCATGACAAAATTAATAAAACATTTTTGTAGCGAAAAAAATCAATATTTTAGTGATATTATAAAATCTTAATACAACATTAAAAAATAAGTAAGGAAAGCAAACAAACAAACAATTTAAAAATGGTATCAACCAGTACTGTACCTGACGGCTTTGTTGTGTACAAGAACAAATGCTTCTACAAGTTATGAAAAAAAATGTCAAAGTTGTTCAAATTAAATCGAAATTATGAAATAAAAAATGTTGTGGAAATCATTTTGCAAACTGAATGTTGATAGTGCAATCATTGAACTCACAGCTTGGCATAACTTTGACTTAGGGTTTCCAGTTTGTAGTACGATTTACAAACAACATCAAACATTTTGTTCGTTTGCAAAAACTCGCGGTCTTTCAAAATGTTTATATTTCTGGATATCAGTTGGCTTTTAATAGTTCTATTGAGAGCAGCCCTTTATGCCAGTTAAGCCACTTGGTGAAAGATCTTTTTTCTGTTTTGACTTGGCTTCGGCGTAAAAACGGCGAAGGATACCGCCTAATTTTGTAGGACTCACTGTATTTGGATCACATTGATCTTTCTTTTGGTACACAAGTCAAATAATTTCTTCGTGATTCCCCACGAGTTTTGTTTCTTAGTGCTACTGGGTATGCTATCTTCTTCAAGTTTTCTTAAATCATCTTCTGTAAGTGATCATCTTTGGCTGTCAAAGTCCTCTCTATAGCTTCTTCCTACTTTTTTTGACAAACGCATTACCTCTGATTGGCTGAACAGCGTATTTTCTCGATTGCTACTGGTTAATTTGAGTGGGCTAAAATGTATTTTGGTCTCATGGATTTGTTCATTTTAAAATACACAACAATGCTCTATAAAGTTAATATAATAAGCTATAACGTTATTTCTAGATGTTCCAGAAAAACAGTTCTTTTCTGTTACTTCGAGGAAGAGATCGTTAACGATMAAATGGAAGCCTGCTGTACAATTAGAYAACGTGGGCATCATTATTGGGTACACAATCAAGTTGGATGGCAAAGAAACACAGGTGCGATCTAACCAGAAGCAGCATATATTTACTGGACTTAAACCATACACTAACTACACACTTCAAATGAAAGCAACCAGTGTAGTTGGTGAGGGTTTGTGGAGCGACGCTAAAACTGTAACTACATTGATAGCAAGTAAGACTTATTTAATTCCCTTTCATATAACAGAAAATTTCACTATAGTATTACAATAACATGCAGTTTCCTTCAGGTTCTTTCATGTGAGAGTGGCTCTTCATGCATCAATTCGGAAAAAGGTTATGTTTAAAGAAAGTGTTTACCATATTTTTAGAACCAGAAGCAAAACCAAGCGTATCTGCAACGACAACATCATCAAAAAGCATTGTCGTAACATGGCAGGTATGTTAGCATGATAGGTATCAGTCTGCTATGTTGTATCCTTTTTTGTTTTCTTGTTGTTGTTGTTGTTTTTTTGTTTTTTGTTTTGTTTTTTGTTTTTGTTTTTCTTCTTCTTCTCTCTTTCCTTTACAATTGTTTGTTCGTTTGCTGAATAATGCATGGTTTATCTGTCTTGTCAATGAGTTTATTTTTTGTTCTTCCGAAAACAAAACTTCTCTCCAAATTCATCACAATATTTTCTAGCTGTTTGCTTCGTCCAAAGTCAACGGACCTATGGCTGGTTTTAGAATTACATTCACCGATGCCCTAGGAAACACAAACACAAAACAAGTTCCAAACATCAGAAGAACCGTACTGACCAACTTGAAGAAGTGGACGACATACAATATAACTGTGTCAATTTGGAATTCAAGATATTATGGTCCAGAAAGCAACATTGTATCTGAAAGAACACTTGAGGATGGTAAATAGAAGTAGATGAATAAATTAAGATATAGATGTTTCTTATCACAAATACATTTCTTAATATAAATATCGAAAGTAGAACATAAAGAAATCATGGGTCGATAAACTGAGATTCTGATACCACTCCAGAGGCACAAATAGTTTTGAAACTCAAATTAATCAATGACAATAGCGTTCCTCACAGAGCAGTCTCTCATTGCCTGATTACCTTACCACCTTCAATACCTGAGTCCCTTCACAGCATTAGAATATTCTACACTGCAATGAAGGCTGGTATACGCCCTGTTCTCCATTCTAGTTGCTTTTTTTACGTCCAAGTCCAGGTCTCTGCGACGTAAAGAAGACTGCTCGACTACATACGTGAATACGGAATCCTTTTTAATTCCTTGGCAAGTTTTAGTGACAGGACTTTCAAATCTTTTTACAGGCTGCCCAGGTAGAGATGTTTGACCTTTAAAAAACTCCTTTTCAGACCCCATAACGATAATATTACCTCGGCAGATGCACATCTTAACGTTATCCATCGACCAGTGAACGCTAATTTTGTATGTGATGGATGTCTGTTGTATATAAACTTGCACATGGCTACGCAGCATTTTTCATTTCGCATTAGCGGCAATAGCTAGACGTGGTGTTTTAAGTTTGATTCTGTCCATTCCTATGATAACTAGTGAGTGACTCTTGCATAAAATGTCTGCAGTGTTAATTTCTTTAAGCGCTGAATCTATTTTCGATTTCATTCTTCATACAGTTTTACGGGTAGCCTCCGTCACAAGTGTCATTTGTCGTTGAACAAAAACTCTGTCAAATGTTGAGGAGGAAACGACAAGAAGAGAAAATGTTCACTGGTGGCAAGCTTTGGCAATTTTGCTCCTCCTTCACGGTCGATATCAGTACGGCGAGATGAGGCTATTTTCAGCGTTCCAGTCTTTCCTAGTTCACGTCGTTAAGGCAACTCCACACTCACTAGTCAGACTCAAGACACAATTATGTGTTTAAAATACACATAAATTATAGACATATTTCCTTTTTCTAGCCCCTGATTGTTCTCCCAAACTGAAATCAGCTGAGCCCTTGTCTTCCACAAGTATACGAGTGGCATGGGACCCACTTCCAAATATCAATTGCAGGAATGGAATTCTGAGATTCTACAAAGTCTTATATAGCAGACATGGTGTCCGTAATGCACAAATAGCCTATACTGCCAATGATGTCCATTCAATGGTAATAATAAACCTCCAGAAGTATACAACATACATTTTCTCAGTAGTCGCTGGTACTGTGAAAGACAGTGAGCCAAGTAACGCAATAAGCAGAAGGACAAAACAAGATGGTATGTTGGTAGGATCTTCACTCTTATAGGTCATATTACGCTATTTTGCATTTAGCTAAGTCAATGTAATAATACCATCTTGTACGATACACTATTCTTGTTCACAATTCATTTCAATGAATGTCCTATTGTTCTATTAAAATTTCTAACGTGTTAAACTGGCTAATCCCTTAAAGATCTGCTGTATTCAGTTATTACTAGTGTTGATATTTTGTTTGACTTCTCAATTACAAACCCATAAACAACAAATCTTCTTTGTGAATATTAAAAAAGATATTTTTGTTTGATTCTAGCCCCCGATTGCCCTCCAAAACTTAAATCAGTCGATGCCCTGTCTTCGACAAGTATCCGAGTGACATGGGACCCACCGCCAAATACCACTTGCAGGAATGGAATTCTGAGAGGCTACAAAGTCTTATGCAGGAGGCCTGGTGCCCGTAGTTCACAAATGGACTTTACTGGTGCTGATGTCAATTCAATGGTGATAAAGGGTCTTCAGAAGTATACAACATACGTGTTTTCAGTAGTCGCATATACTGTCAAAGACAGTGAGCCAAGTAACACAATAAGCAGAAGGACAAAGCAAGATGGTAAATTTTGTAGGAAATTTCATCTCAATAAACGTATATTGATCTACCTTAATTATACTATGGATACAAGTTAGATATTATTACAAGTTGTTAACATTCATTACGAGGGAAAATGGAAGAAAGATACTCAATCAGAATTGAAAAATAAAAAAAAAAGCAGAGAGAGCTTTCTGGATAAGATCATAACTGAAAACATTAATGATTTTAATAAAAGATCTTTATCAGATTGTAGACAAACTCCAGAGTTTCAAAATAACATTTTTTAAGAGCAATATTTTGATGAAATACGTAAAGCAAAGTTTAGGTCCTACTTTCGAGAAAAAAAGCTGTTTTTTTAGCATTTCAGGCATTTTTAGAAAACCTAGTAAATACATGATACTGAATAATATCAAAGTAAAAGGGAAGGCATTCGCAGCTTCAAAGGTCTTCTATCAAAATATCTTTTTTTATTTGATTTCATATTTGGTACCTTTAGCCCCCGATTGCCCTCCAAACCTTAAATCAGTCAAGGCCCTTTCTTCGACGAGTATCCGATTGACATGGGACCCACCGCCAAATACCACTTGCAGGAATGGAATTCTGAGAGGCTACAAAGTCTTATACAGGAGSCCTGGTGCCCGTAGTTCACAAATGGACGTTACTGGTGCTGATGTCAATTCAATGGTGATGAAGGGTCTTCAGAAGTATACAACATACGTGTTTTCAGTAGTCGCATATACTGTAAAAAACAGTAAGCCAAGTAATGCAATAAGCAGCAGGACACTTCAAGATGGTATGTTGGTAGGACATTGCCTCTTATAGGTCACATAACCCTATTTTCATTTAGCTAAGTCAATGCAATAATACCGTATTGTACGATAGACAGTAGCTTASCGAAGGGGGAGKGCTGCCAAAATAGCAATTGCAGGAATGGAATTCTGAAAACTTCGCAGATAAAAAACAAACAATGCATATTAAACCAACATAAAAGAGGAAGATAAATTATTACAGCCAATCTCATACGAAACTATTCGGACGGGCTACCTGTGTGCCCTTGAATCTCCACGTTGGAATCTGAAATATCTTTGGCTCACTATTTTAGATTATCTTGATGTAAAAGAGAAATTTAATTTTAGAAGAGTCTGTAAACAGTGGGAAAATATTTTGATCAATCCATCTTTTTATTGAAGAATTTGAGCTTAATTCTCTAGTATTCACGAGGAAGTAATGACTGAAAAGGTGCATTAGCTTTGGATGCTACCGTGAAATTCTGTTTATTATACATTATTTGTAAAGGTAGGAGAAATGTTTTCTTTTCGGTCAGTGCCACCCACATCCTTCACCAGCTCCTAGGTCCTCGCTACACCCTGGCGATGCACTATTCCTGTACACAACTATACATTTCAACGAATAGACTATTGTCCTGTTAGAATGCGCAACGTGTGGAATTGGCGAATCCAAAAAACCCTACTTTATTCAGTGATTACTATTGTTCAGGTTTTGTTTGACGTTTCTATTAGAAAACCATAAAAAATAAAACGTTTTTGTGAAAATAAAAGAAAAACGTTTTTGTCGATTCTAGGCCCCGATTGCGCTCCAAAGCTGAAATCAGTCAAGGCCATGTCCTCCACAAGTATCCAGGTGACATGGGACCCACTTCCAAATACCACTTGCAGGAATGGAATTCTGAAAGGCTACAAAATCTTATACAGGATATATGGCTTCCGTAATACAACAATCGCCAATATTGGTCCCGACGTCCATTCAATGGTGATAAGAGATCTTCATAAGTATACAACGTACATAATCAACGTTGTTGCATATACTATCAAAGACAGTAAACCAAGTAACGCGATAAATAGAAGGACACTTCAAGATGGTAAGTTGTCCCAAACTTCAAAATCTTTTCTGATGGGGAGGGGACAGTAGGAAAATTTGACATGATTGTTCAGTAAATAGAAATATCACGTTTAATGAAGCTAAAAGTACTCATGTATCCGATTTTAGCTCCCTCTGTACCCCTTAACGACAAAGCGAAGCTTATCCAACACGATGACAAGTTTCGTATACCACGCTTGCAAGTCACGTGGGATAAACCATCACATGATAATGGCATCATCACAAGATACACACTTGTGTATCGCTATGATAACGATACATCCAATCATGTGAATATAACTGATATATCGTCGATGGTATATACACTGGATGTACTTGGTCAAGCAAGGTTTTGGTTTAAGATTAGTGCGAGTACGATCAAAGAAGGACCCTATACTACTATTAATAGCCTTTGGATCCCTGCCTACGGTACGTAAGCACATGATGCTTTTTCTATGATATCGAAGTGTTTACTACTGGTCAATTACATTTTATAGTAATACTATTCTTATTTTAGTTCCGCATGTAGCGCCGCAAGGTATGAAAGTGACAAAGAAAAACGAAACGACCTTCATAATCGCCTGGAAACCGTTACGCAGGAACGAGGCCAATGGCATCATAACGAAGTACAAAATTTCTTGGATTTTAAGACAMATAGGACGAGCTAAAAGAATGGCAGTTCGAGAATTCTTCACTGGAACWGCACAGGGAAACCAATTTGTTCTACACAATCTAAGACGTTGTGCGCAGTATGAAGTTCGTGTAGCAGCTGCAACGGTTGCAGGATTGGGTCCAAATGCTACTTGCAATATTACAACATCAAGTAAGTACTATACATGCATCAGTACTTTTGGAAGAACAAAGCCTCCGCAATTTGGAAAAGTGGGACTCGAATCACTAAATTATAACTCCTRAAGAAATTAACAGGTTMTAAGATRATGTCAAGTTAATATTATAAGATATAATGATATATACATTAGTTGACGTAGCAACTACGAAATGTGTTATAAGGCACAACATAGCGATTCGCGTCTCACTTTTTAAGATGACGGAAGCATTGTTCTCCTAAAGTACTGATGCATGAATTAAAATATCCATATTTTATTGGGTAGATTTACAGTATCATAAAATATCAACTTGCATAATGTGGACTGGAGGAGAGGTAGGGGGACTTTGAAAAATAAACAGATAAGGAAGGTGGCTTTAATGTCATTTGCTGACTTTTGAAGAGGAGGGGCGAGTTGAAACACAAAATTAAAGTATGTTTCAAAAACTCATATATAATTAATGAGCTATTATGTCAATAGAATGAGCCTATTTGGTCACATGCAGTGAACAGCCAAGAGCGGTTCTATTTTACATTTCTCTCAGCTCTACCTCGAATGATAATCGCGAATGCTCTGGYTACATTTTAGACCTAAAAAGAGCTTCTAATATATTATCCTCGTGGTTCCTCGGATTCTGACTTTTTCTTCACTCAAAGGCCATACAAGCCAATTTTCTTCAACAAGGGTCAATATAGGTGATTGAATTCCTAATTTTTTTATTMTTCTTTGGACCGTACTAGGTACCAAAAYAAAGCTTAGAAACGAGGCTATCAGATTCCGTAGAGATTTGTGGAAAGACGTCCAAAGAAAAACTTTTAAGTTTACAAAAAGTTGGTTAACATTTTTATTTCCGACATAGTTAGTAGAGGGACATTCTCCCTCTATTAATTATGCTTCCGGTGAGCTTTGTTTTGACGCCAATTTTCAAACCTAATGAATAAACCGATGAACAGGATTTATGCCACTTTAAAAAGCTGAAAGATATCATAAATGTTGACTTCAGTTCTAGTCTAAGCTACTTACGCCAAAGATACGTAAATTCAAGTGAATTYCTTACGCAGTTCACGTAAATATAACCAGTGTTACGAAGTTCTGTCGCCTTTTTGATGTAATTCTTTCTATTTCGAAAAATCCTTGTAAGTCTTCGATTTTTTCTTGGTACTTCCAATGATAAAACTGATGTAATTTTGTTTAACTGTTGATAATAGCCTTCATCTTGACTTCGTTTCCTAAGAACCGACATATTGAAAAACGTAACTCCGCTGACCAAACACTATTCATGTTCACAATTCATTTCAATGAGTGGCCTATTGTTCTGTAAAAATATCTAACGCGTTGAACTGGCTAATCCCTTAAAGATCTACTATATTCAGAGATTACTATTGGTGAGGTTCTGTTTGACTTCTCACTTACAAACCCATAAACAATAAAAAGTATTTTTTCGGAATATTCCAAATTATTTTTTGTTTGATTCTAGCCCCCGATTATCCTCCAAACCTAAAATCAGTCAAGGCCCTGTCTTCGTCAAGTATGCGAGTGACATGGGACCCACTGCCAAATACCACATGCAGATATGGAATTCTGAGAGGCTACAAAGTCTTATACAGGAGGCCTGGTAACCGTTATTGGCATACGTACAATGTCGGTTATGACGTCAATTCAATAGAGATAAGAAATCTCAAGGATTTTACAACGTACATCTTCTCGGTTGTTGCATATACTRTTAAAGACAGCAAGCCAAGTAACGCAATCAGAAAGACGACATTACAAGATGGTATGATTGTATGAAGATCAATGTTTGTTCACTTTCATTTAAAACAGCGTAGTAATTATATTTTAGACGTCAGAATGAAAGTTTTTCCTTAATATTCAAAATCATATGCTTCTAATTCAATCCTGTTGTCACTTGGAAAACGAAGTCCATACACAGGGAGATGTACAAAGGAGAAAAGAAATCTTCAGAAGTTAACAACGTACATATTCTTGGTAGTTGTGGGTACTGTTAAAGATAGTAAGCCAATAGGGAACTCAATAAGCAGGAGGACATGGTATGTTTATAAAATATTCCTCTGATTAACAATTAGGCCACGAGGTCGAGCAGTCTATGAGTTGATGGTTCAGGATGCCGTACTCCGCAATTGTTTTTACTTAAAAGTATTCACAAAACTCTACAATTGACTTTAACCCCTAGGGGACCAACTACGGCTATGGGCGTAGAAAACCGATCGATGCGTCTAAACTTGATAAGTTACCGAAATAGGAAGCTATTGGCCTGAAATTGCTCGTACGAACTCACTAGTAAATCTTGTCGTTCTTAAAGTTTAAAGAGTTCTCAAACGAGGTAAAAAAAGGCACAAAACAGTACTCTGCTTTGAAGTGAATGCCAAAATTTGCGTTTGGAGGACTACAGGCAACATTAAATTCCATCTCAATTTCGAGCGTCAAAACAGGTTTTTCTAGCAAAAACTCTACTTCACTTGCAATCCCCTTTTATAGCACGTCCTCGTTTTGCCATTTTTATTCTTTCAAAGTCGCTGCAGACCTCTCAACAGCCCTCTTTTAAACACCCGGTACAACAATTTCCTGTGAACGACCGAAATGCATCACGGGAAGAGACAAAATTTGGACATAAATCTTCCAGCATTCTTTATTTAAGAATTATTTTATAAGTGTGAGCTCTTCCGCACCTACAGGCAAAATATTGGGTCGGCTTCATTCTTTGGTTGTCAAATATTGCCAAAATTATCTTAGTAGGTTGGAAATTCTGCCACAGAAGGACCAGGAAAGCGATCTTACAATGATGTCTCCAGTTCAAAGCAAACCGTGACTTAGAGCCATTGTCTTCGAAAAATCGCTTTCCAMCTCTGATTTCTTCCAGAAGATTGTCTCTGCCGACTAGTCAAGCTTAATGATGCAAACCTAGGGGCTCCTGTGGCAGCAAAAAGCTCAAAAAAGCACTTATAAACGGGTTTTTAGGTAAATTTAGGCTCAACCGGTCGATAAACAAACGGTCTGGCCTAAATTTACAAAGCCCTGCATAAATTAACGCTGCCTAGGGAATTCAAATCCGAAATAGTTTTATTGACAGCACCTTATATGGAAGTCAATTATTTTATCAAGATGTTAGGGTCGAAAATGCTCCAAAATCAACAAATAAACGCCGGTCCTCTAGGGGTTAANCACTGACACATGAGATTGTCCAACTACCTGAATTGTTTAGTCAGGGCTTCGATTTGTAGATTACCACCCCTAGTACCTTCGGATTCGCGTAATTTGGTTGGTAGGATTGTAAGTAAAGATTTTAGATAACCTCCCCCTCTAACATCGGAATGGGCGCTGGGTTTTAACTCAAACTTTGTGAATGAGGCAATATTGACATAGCAAAGGTAATGGTGTAGGTTTTAGATCAAATCAGTRCTGGTATGTGGAAAATATTTTTTTGATTAAGGCAAATTTCAAAAAAAAGACCATGAAAGATCATTTTTCTCCACATTATTTTGACTATTTTCACCTCATTTGATAGATAATAGATCAGTCAATCAGAATGCTGGTTTTGTAATAGCCCATTAATAAACAGTGAATACAAAATAAGCTGAAAGCATACAAGTGAATACGACACTTAGCTAATTTAGATGTTATTGCATTGTAGTTTGGAAAGCAGCTACAAAGAAAAGTAAAGGTGAGACTTAGAAGTAGAAAAAAAGGTGATATAGTATATTTACGTCACATACAGTATCATTCTACTGTTTTTGACGCAAAGGATTGTGGTAGCTAGATCGGATAAGAGTGACTACATATCACATTTTATAAAATGTTGATGAGCAATCATTGATTCGTGATATATATTTAAACTTGATACATTTAAGTTCTACTTTTGGTAAGAAAGTTAGCCGTCAATGAAATACCAGATTTTTCCAGCTTACTTTTCAAAAAAGATATCAATTTTTTATTATAAATTGTTCTAGTGCCCGAATGAACACTTATGCAGCCTGAAAGTGCTTTGACATCAAAAAGCATAGTAATGTATGGAATGTGGAAAACAGAGCATCAGAGACTTGAAAATAGAATACCGATTACAACAGCCTCCTTCACACTTTTCTCCGCCTTGTTGAAATAAAACCGTGCCTTTTTGAGACGACCTACGGATGCGCAGTGACAAAGAGAAACCTTTGTTCACATCACAGTTATTTACAGGTGTATATCATTGCACGGCGCTCACTGATCGTCTTGCATGGATACAAATCTGTCATTTTTTGTTTCAATCATTAACATGTTACTGTAGAGAATAGATAAAAATATTTTGCTTCTAATTGTAAAACGCTATTTTGTTTTGACAGGATTACAATGAGCATATCGCTTCTTTGTCACGCAAGCTCCATGTCACTAAGAAGGAACATTGAGAACTTCTAGACTATTRTTGGATCGCCCCAGGTTGAGAACCTTAAATTACTCATTTTCCGATTTGCAACCTATATTTTGTGATATTGTAAAGTGATAATATAATAATAATAATAAAATTAGTGCTTCATTTCAACTATATACATTAACAATCAATTGTACAGAATTTGACGTGAATGATATGTGTTGCTACACTTGAAAGACTATTACAAGCATTGGAAAACAAGCAACGATCTTAATTTCTTAATTTCTTAATCGTTATTTATGCGTGCTCATTGATTTTAACTAGAAATTTAGAATGTTAAGCAAAATGAGTACCACTGGTACCACTGGTATGACTGCAAATGCCGAAATGATGAGTATTGGATTTCCTGGGTCGACACTGGATCATAGTTCATTTCCTTTTTGTCGAGATGCTGTTGCGACAGCGTGAAATAGGAGATTAAATCTTGCTCTCCTTCTATATTGTTTATGAAAATAGCCAAGGTAAAGTGCGTGTGTCAAGTGTCTTTACATTATTTACTTTATAACTGACTCTGATAAAGATTATCTTTGGGATGACCCTCGGGAGCTGAACATCTTTATGGTATCCCTGTGCCTCAAGTCCGATCACGATTATCAGACAAGGGAAGAGTCTTACCAGTAGTACCGCTGGAGTGCAGGCCTTACCAGTCCTATTGAAAGAGTTCCATTGGTAAATGATTGACACATGAAGTAGTGAATGTTATAACACAGGTATCCCAAGCTCAGCACTTGTCGGCTTTTCTGCAAGGGACATTATAGAGAAAAAATTCAATAAAAGTCGGAAATCTGAATAATTCAAACTCACACAATATGTTGTCCTTAATTTATTACACATGTATACAAAGTTTCAGCTCCCTACTGTGAAATAAACTGCCTTTTTTCTTGATGTTTGTACTGTTGATAATATCCCTACAAGGTTGGTTATGCACTAGTTGATTGAAACCCCCACCCCAATTCAACGTTTGAGTGGTGCTAAAAGAAGAAATTTCCCTCGGTAGTCGGGGGCACATTCATTCATTGTTAAAACCCCCGCTACTGTTCCCCCGCTATTTTGGTCCAGCCAAATAACAAAGCAAACAGCTTTAAATCAATTTTTTTGTCATACACAGGGTTAATTTTTGTATAATCCTGTGCGTTCTACATGAGGCTAACTGGTCGACTTCTAGTTTCCAGCCTCATGCATGTTCAAACGAGCGTTAAAAATCCCCGCTCTTTGTCCCGCTTCGAAAACAATTTATCAAGTCCCGATCCCCCGGGGCAATCGTTCAGTACTCCGTTAGTACCGGGGACGGGGGCCGGGGGTTTCAATTGACTAGTGCATTACTCCGAAAAACGATCAATCCTAAACAATGTCTGAAATCCTAACTCGAGCAAATTTCTTAGAATTGATAAATGTTCTTTCCACACATACCAATTTCAAGTCAACATCGTTTTTCTTGACAGAAAGTCCCCAGAGTAAAAACGGTTTGAAAAGTACATTTTTCATTTCCGTATGCCCAGGAGACGGAGACCCCCATCATCCTCAACCTCGTACCCAGGGTCTCCCTTCTCGCTATTTTCAAAATGGCGGACGCTCGGGAGGGAGACCCTGGCGGAGACTGGTCACGTGATACCCAGGAATCGTGGGTATCGGCCCCAGGCTGCTCGTTTGAGCCTTGAAACGGCCAAAAAACAACCGAAAAGAAAGTGGAATCGAGTAAAAACAAACATGGCGGTTCGATCGAATCAAAACAGAATATTCTGATCTTTTTCTGTTGAATTATTGCCCCAGCTGTACTCTGCTTCATTGATGTTCAATTCAAACGAAAAACAAAGACTTTACTTACATTTACAACTCCATTGAAATGTTTTTCTTGTGTTTATCCAACCAAGAGTGGAGGTTCTCCTTGTCCATACCGCTTAGGGCCGAAACTCCAATGTCCTGGAAGCTTCTGTGGCTTCTTTTTGGCACTTTTTTGAAAGGTTTTAACCTCCTCAGGTCTTGAATGGCCAGAAGCTCGTCGTCCTTAGACTGGCGGTGGTGGTGTGTGTTGGATGACTTGTGGATTAAGCACTGCTTGTCAAAGTTGGATACAATGTCTTCCACACCTGCTGCAGCCCTCGAAGCACGCAAAAGAGATTTGGTAGTTTTGTTTGCTCCCATCCCCCGAACCACGTTCTTACTAGATCTGTTGCAAATTTCCTGTGCCGTATCACACTCGATGTTTTTGCCTGAACAAAAATACTTGTCAACATAAGTTTGGAAGGTTTTTTAAAAGTCCAATGGAATAGTCATTCTTACCTTTTCCTCCGTTCCAATTGACAAACCGTCCCCATGTTATACGATGAGCCATTTCTTCGGACTCAATGGCCAAAACTTGTGCAAG